GGAACAAAGGTGGCAAGAAATTTTTGAAGGGTTGTCTAGTCTAAGTTTGAGGTTGAGGAAGAGTCAAATTGGATTATGTTGAGTGACTTTAATGTATGAACAGGTGCTCATAATGAAGTTTTGACATGTATATGTATAGTTTTGATATTGGTTCTGATAAAAGAAGCAGAGTTTTAAGGATGTAAATATGAATGCTAGATGTTGGAAAGTGCTTGAGTGTTGTGTGGATAATAATTTGCTTATTTTAAATGGTGGTGTTTGGTGATGAAGTATACTTGTGTTTAATCAGTAATTGATTTGGGAATAATTACTACTTGTGTGTGGAATTATATTAAATTTTTTTGTATTAAGAATTGTTTTTGGTCATATCATTGTCCAATGGTTCTCTATCTGGAAGATTTTTCTAGAGATTCTTTGAGTAGTACCAGTAGTAATTATGAGATTTTTTGGGATAGTGACCTGGTAGAGATGTTTTCAGCTGATTTGGAATACTACCTGGAGCAGACTTCTAATATATTCCTGCTGGAACTGAGTAAGATCATAGTGGAGATTGCTAGAGTTTATGGGTTGAATCACAGGACTAAAAGAACAGTGGGAATATATGACTGGTTTGATTTGGATTGTCATTTAATGATTAAAGCTAGAAACAGAGCATGGTTAGAGTTTAAGAAAAATAGTTTAGTGGCTCAAAGGAATGTCTCTGTTCTGTGCCAAAGTTTAATAAAGAGACTGTGCAAAGAAGGAGGAGTTTTATGAGAAGATACAATTTTAGTAACTTTTACAGAAATAATAGGTTATTTTGGAATTTATGCAAAGAAAGTATAAATTTGGTTATGGTAAATATTAGTTTACTTGTATGGTTCAGTTATTTCTTTTTCCTTTATTGCTCTGAAAAACCATAGAGTTGATTTAGCAGTTTTTAATAAGTGTTTGATCTGGTCGGGTGAAATACTGGACTCTGATATATCAGAGCAAGAATTGAGATATGTTTTAAGTAAGTTGAGAGTTGGTGGCGCACTGGAAATAGATGGTATATTTGTGGATTTATGGAAAATTGAAACTGCATTTTTTTTTTATTAGATTATTATAATAAGGTGTTGAGGACTGGTGCTATCCTGGAAGAGTGGAAGAGTTCTTTATTGGTTCCAGTACATAAGGGTGGTTCAAAGTTGGTTCCTAAAAATTAGAGGTATTTTGTTGTGCTGTGTTTCAAAAATTTGTTGTGGAGTTTTGTACTATAGGTTAATAAGTTGATTTAATATGAGAGATATTCTGTCAAAGAATCAGGCTGGTTTTCTTGCAGGTTATTTGGTCATTTTGTATGCCATTATTTCTAAGACTTTAAGGAGGAAACAGTATAAGGCATATACATTTTTTAGTATTATTTTTTTAGATTTAGCATCAGCATTTGATACTGTTGATAGGAATTTATTATGGAGGAAATTATTAAATTATGAATTAAGTTTTAAATTTGTATCCCTGCTTGTAGAGTTTTGTGTGGCTTGAATGTTAAGCTTAGTTCACACTAAGCACAATTCGCTGGCGAAAGCAAAAAACAGAGCGAATAACCCATCAAGCATGACTTGTTTGACAGGTTATTTGCTCTGTTTTTCTCTTTTGCCAGTGAATCGTGCTCAGTGTGAACTAAGCTTTAGTATTACATGGAGGAATCCACTGTTCCCAGCCTTTCTTTTCAGACAAGGGTATTAGACAGGAATGTATTTTGAGCCCCATTCTTTTTAGTTTATTTTAAAATGTTTTATTGAATTGTATTAATTATTCCAGGGTGGAAAGTATTGATGTTGATGGTGTCAATGTAAAGACATTAGCATATGCAGATGATGCAATTGTGGCTGATTCTATGAGGTCATTACAGGTGTCAATTGACCTTTTGGATATGTCATGTTATTTAACCAGTGGTCAGTTTTCATTATTTGGAAGACTATCTGATTTGTGAATAAGTGACTAATCTAATTATTTTTTATCTGTCAGGATTTGCAATATGGCACAGAGTATTAGGTGCCCAAATCATGTGCACACAAAAAAAATCAGACTTGTAGGTACTCGGGACCGAGAACAGAGTCAAAATAAAATACAAAATGGCAAACTTTTTCTACAAACAGGCACTAGTGCGAGATTTGCACATGCATTGCTCATTGGGAAGTTCAAGATGCAAATGTTGTGAAATCGAATTTTGACGAATAAATCTTTGAAAAAATCCATTTACCTGTCCTGTGTTATTCCTGACATATCTCGGGTCATGACATGTTGACCTTGACCAGTTGACCTAAGATATCTCATTTCAGCATCGGAATGCTTTTGAAACTAAATGGCGCTAATCGTTATAATTTTATATTATAAAACTAACTTCCAAAATATTTTTTTTTGTTTTTACATTTATTAATATATTTATTTTGTGTGTGCAAAATAAAAAAAATAATAATTATTTCGGATGATACAATAGCCACTATTATTTTTTTCAAAAAATTGACATTTTCGTTAGTCATCGACAAAAATTCAACCCGGGGTGATGTGCAACAGAGAGAGATTTCAACATTGGATAGGTTAATTTCACTGAAAATACTTCATGGTCATGGCAGGCGAAGTTTGAATGATTGTGCTCAAAGCCAGCGATACCAAAGAAGATTGGAGAATGAGAACGAGACCCACCGTGAGCGTTGAAGTGATCCCGCTTACTGTAGCCAAGAACAGGCATATTACAACTCAACCTGCCGTAACCACAGCAGCAACAAAGCCTGCCGTAATCTATGCCAGGACCCTGAGTACTGGTGTCAACATTTCCTCATTGGAGAGTGCTCATTTTTCACACAGTCAAGCCCTGAGTCTCCAAGACATAGTCTTGTCCCAAAAATGGCTTTGGTGTTTTACTTGTTTTTTATTTATTTATATTTTTTTGGATAGCTCTCCCACTTTTAGATTTTGATTTCATTTTTTTGATTTACTATTGTGTTTTAGTTATAAGCTTTATATATTTGTTTTATATTAATGGATATGTTGTATGATCTTGTATGATTTTTTTTTGTATGCTTTCTCCCACATCATGGTTGTACCAGTATGCTTAAATAAATAAATAAATAAATAAATTAATTAATTAATATAATTAAAAGTCCATTTTGTACTGTTTAAAAAGGCATTAGAATTTTTAATGTTTTTGTAAAATTTTTTCCAAGCAACTATTTTGGAGAGCCACAGAAAAATATTAAGCTCAAAAGAGGCTAAAGGTCAAAAAAGATTGAGGAATACTGCTCTAGGCTCCAAATTAAGGCAGCAATGACTGTTTTGTGTGAAACCACCATAGTAAAAATCTAAAAGAGACAGGGTGGTTGTATAACCCAAGTTTTGCCAAGAGCATCTTGTGATGGTGCCTTGTCTCGCACCATCACGAGGTGTAAAATTCATAATAAGTTAAAGTCCCTCAGGAGACCATCTGCAAGACATGACAATGAGGATGAAAGGATCATGTTGAGAGCAACATAAATATAGATGCTCTCAGTAAAGTTCTAAAAAGAAAAATCACACACTTCAATGATGTAGCATGAAGACTATCCAGCATATGACCTGGGCTGACACATACAAAAAAATCATCATATCAATCGATATTCAATTATAATAAAACTATAACAATTTTACAAGAAATCAAAATATGAAAAACAAGTTAAATGAGACTGTAAAACAGAGTATTGTATGTATATATGGATGATATATAAGTACAAGGGTCAATCAGATAAATGATGTTTAAAAATGTAAGAAGAAAGTTATTGTCTTTATGTTGGAAAGTAAGTTAAGATACATGGAATGCTATATTATAATGTACACAAAAAGGACAAAATAATTTAATAGCGTAAGATTACAGGAAATAGACAAATTGGGATTTTAGATATTTTAATTTTTAAAAAAAGGAAATATAGTTGCTTGAAGTTATGTCAAAACTTTTAATAATGTGCAGAAAGTATATATTCTCAGAATCTCATTTTAGTTCTGAGACTATACACATTTTGCATATCCATTTATTTGATTCTACATCTTGTTTATATTCATCTGTGAATATGTGTTTTAGATGCGTCAACCTTCCTCAGTTCACTAAAATGCACACTGCAAAATACAAATGTACTTATCTTCAGTTGGAAAAGAAATATAAAACACAGTTTCAACAAAAAATTTTGTTTATTAATTCAGATATGCCATTATCAGAGAGATTAAATAACAAAGGGAGTGATTATAGTTTCTTAGGAATATCAGTGTAGTAAATATCAGTGGGATATCAGTATTATTGTAAAGAAGTATTTTGTTGCGTATTAATTAAATTTATCTTCAAATATCACAAATTTTTATGTTCTCTTTATATATATTGAATTTAGCTTGATTTTATTTTTATAATAAATTAATGTGTAGCTGTAAATGATATAAGTAACTGTAAAAATAATTTAACTATTAATATAAGCATAAATAAATTGGTAAAACTAAAGTACTTAAATTTAAAAAATAAATATCGATACTAGCTGCTTTCAGTGTTTTTGTATACACCTGCATTGAATAAACACATTCAATGTATAATGCTCTTATGCAAACTTGCATTAAGATTGTTTTATTTAGTTTCCTCTATATCACTTTTTAATGGTAAGTTTAATTCAAATGGCACTTTCTGATGATATTCCCAATTTATCTTGCAGATTAACAGATTCAAACATTGAATTTGTATTTTAATTTTAATGAGTGCTGTTGTTTGGAAAGAATGCATTATTGAAACAATAATTTGGTAATCTGTTTGTTCAAATATTGCAGAAACACAAATATAATTTTAAAATTTGAAAACGTTCTCGTAAAAAAACTGCATTTATCGACAAATAATAATTTGTTCAATTTCATTTGCCAATGAACTAGTTTAACTTGATTTTATATAATTGTGTTTATATTAATTTAATTTATTGAATAGTATGTGACATTGTTTTGTTGTTATAATACATTATTATTTACCATAGACTGTTCAGTTTGTCCAAGGAATATTTGTGGAAAAATATGATCCAACAATAGAAGATAGTTATCGTAAGGTAATTTTTGAAAAGATTTTTGTTAAGTTACTAGTAAATGTAAGGAATAGCAAAATATTGAAAAATCATAACTGCTTGATTTTCCTTTTCAGCAAGTTGAAGTTGATGGACAGCAATGCATGCTGGAAATCTTGGATACTGCAGGCACAGTAAGGCATTTTCATTATTTTTATAGTTTTTGAATTCACGTAATACAAGTTTGTAAATTCTAGGAACAATTTACTGCAATGCGAGATTTATACATGAAAAATGGACAGGGATTTGTTTTGGTATATTCAATTACAGCACAATCCACTTTCAATGATTTACAAGATTTGAGAGAACAGATACTCAGAGTTAAAGATACAGATGATGTAGGCAATTAGATCAATTTTTCATTTAGATTAAAAAAAATTAATTATATTTGAAGTTACCTCTTTTTAATACAAATTAGGTGCCAATGATTCTAGTAGGAAACAAGTGTGATTTGGAAGATGAAAGAGTAGTTGGTAAAGACCAAGGTGCAAATCTGGCTCGTTCTTTTAATAATTGTGCCTTTCTCGAATCATCTGCTAAAGCCAAAATTAACGTGAGTGAGGTAGGTATTTTATTTCTATATTTTGTGTTATATTTTACTTGTTACTTTTTATTTATGGTTTAATATGTTTAAATTTATTAAATAGATTTTCTATGATCTTGTAAGGCAAATCAATAGAAAAAATCCAGAGAAGAAAATAAAACCACCACCAAAAAAATGTACAATTCTGTAACCTAGGTAAAGATTAAAAAAATTTCTTAAAAATGTTATTTTTCAAATGCATAATGCTTTGATAATTTTTTAATAAGGATAATATGAATCTAAAAATTATTCAATAAATTTTANCTTACAAAAAAAAAAACAGACGCAAACTTAACGAGTGCCTACTCGACAGTCTCGCGAATACATAAAAGAATTATTTTGTCATAAAAATAATAGGCTGGAATTATAAGGGAGAGTTTTAAAGTTTGGAGGAATACTATCCGATTGGTATATACCAGCTTGAGCATCGATGTCGATGTCTCCCACACTCTGAAAAGTTTCGAATTGTTGCCCAAAGACAAGGAAAGTCCAGTTGATATTCGTTATTTTATGTCGCTTCTTCTTGTTTGTTCTGTGGGATGTTCCTTATCTGATCATGTGTTCGTTGTCCGAACATAAAAATCTTTCGCGAAAGTGTTCGTTATCCGATTTGTTCATTGTCCGATCTGTTCGTTAACCGATCACCCACTGTATATTATATAAAAAACACGTGCGTATTCGAATGCAGCGTTGTGTCAAAATTTCAAAGGAATCGGTAGGAACAAACGAACATTACATTTTTATTTATATAGATAGATAGAAGATGATCTGCTTTAGTTCATTTTCACAGAAAAGCAAACTTAAAGCGTTGTACTCGTAGCGCCATCTGTTGGACGTAAAAGCCTTAACCTAGATTATATATTTTAATTTATATGAATGTTTAACGGAATAATATACAGCCTATGTCCACCCTGAAGTTCCATTCTAAATATTGGTGAAAGAATTTTTGAAATCGGATGANTACCAGTATGCTTAAATAAATAAATAAATAAATAAATTAATTAATTAATATAATTAAAAGTCCATTTTGTACTGTTTAAAAAGGCATTAGAATTTTTAATGTTTTTGTAAAATTTTTTCCAAGCAACTATTTTGGAGAGCCACAGAAAAATATTAAGCTCAAAAGAGGCTAAAGGTCAAAAAAGATTGAGGAATACTGCTCTAGGCTCCAAATTAAGGCAGCAATGACTGTTTTGTGTGAAACCACCATAGTAAAAATCTAAAAGAGACAGGGTGGTTGTATAACCCAAGTTTTGCCAAGAGCATCTTGTGATGGTGCCTTGTCTCGCACCATCACGAGGTGTAAAATTCATAATAAGTTAAAGTCCCTCAGGAGACCATCTGCAAGACATGACAATGAGGATGAAAGGATCATGTTGAGAGCAACATAAATATAGATGCTCTCAGTAAAGTTCTAAAAAGAAAAATCACACACTTCAATGATGTAGCATGAAGACTATCCAGCATATGACCTGGGCTGACACATACAAAAAAATCATCATATCAATCGATATTCAATTATAATAAAACTATAACAATTTTACAAGAAATCAAAATATGAAAAACAAGTTAAATGAGACTGTAAAACAGAGTATTGTATGTATATATGGATGATATATAAGTACAAGGGTCAATCAGATAAATGATGTTTAAAAATGTAAGAAGAAAGTTATTGTCTTTATGTTGGAAAGTAAGTTAAGATACATGGAATGCTATATTATAATGTACACAAAAAGGACAAAATAATTTAATAGCGTAAGATTACAGGAAATAGACAAATTGGGATTTTAGATATTTTAATTTTTAAAAAAAGGAAATATAGTTGCTTGAAGTTATGTCAAAACTTTTAATAATGTGCAGAAAGTATATATTCTCAGAATCTCATTTTAGTTCTGAGACTATACACATTTTGCATATCCATTTATTTGATTCTACATCTTGTTTATATTCATCTGTGAATATGTGTTTTAGATGCGTCAACCTTCCTCAGTTCACTAAAATGCACACTGCAAAATACAAATGTACTTATCTTCAGTTGGAAAAGAAATATAAAACACAGTTTCAACAAAAAATTTTGTTTATTAATTCAGATATGCCATTATCAGAGAGATTAAATAACAAAGGGAGTGATTATAGTTTCTTAGGAATATCAGTGTAGTAAATATCAGTGGGATATCAGTATTATTGTAAAGAAGTATTTTGTTGCGTATTAATTAAATTTATCTTCAAATATCACAAATTTTTATGTTCTCTTTATATATATTGAATTTAGCTTGATTTTATTTTTATAATAAATTAATGTGTAGCTGTAAATGATATAAGTAACTGTAAAAATAATTTAACTATTAATATAAGCATAAATAAATTGGTAAAACTAAAGTACTTAAATTTAAAAAATAAATATCGATACTAGCTGCTTTCAGTGTTTTTGTATACACCTGCATTGAATAAACACATTCAATGTATAATGCTCTTATGCAAACTTGCATTAAGATTGTTTTATTTAGTTTCCTCTATATCACTTTTTAATGGTAAGTTTAATTCAAATGGCACTTTCTGATGATATTCCCAATTTATCTTGCAGATTAACAGATTCAAACATTGAATTTGTATTTTAATTTTAATGAGTGCTGTTGTTTGGAAAGAATGCATTATTGAAACAATAATTTGGTAATCTGTTTGTTCAAATATTGCAGAAACACAAATATAATTTTAAAATTTGAAAACGTTCTCGTAAAAAAACTGCATTTATCGACAAATAATAATTTGTTCAATTTCATTTGCCAATGAACTAGTTTAACTTGATTTTATATAATTGTGTTTATATTAATTTAATTTATTGAATAGTATGTGACATTGTTTTGTTGTTATAATACATTATTATTTACCATAGACTGTTCAGTTTGTCCAAGGAATATTTGTGGAAAAATATGATCCAACAATAGAAGATAGTTATCGTAAGGTAATTTTTGAAAAGATTTTTGTTAAGTTACTAGTAAATGTAAGGAATAGCAAAATATTGAAAAATCATAACTGCTTGATTTTCCTTTTCAGCAAGTTGAAGTTGATGGACAGCAATGCATGCTGGAAATCTTGGATACTGCAGGCACAGTAAGGCATTTTCATTATTTTTATAGTTTTTGAATTCACGTAATACAAGTTTGTAAATTCTAGGAACAATTTACTGCAATGCGAGATTTATACATGAAAAATGGACAGGGATTTGTTTTGGTATATTCAATTACAGCACAATCCACTTTCAATGATTTACAAGATTTGAGAGAACAGATACTCAGAGTTAAAGATACAGATGATGTAGGCAATTAGATCAATTTTTCATTTAGATTAAAAAAAATTAATTATATTTGAAGTTACCTCTTTTTAATACAAATTAGGTGCCAATGATTCTAGTAGGAAACAAGTGTGATTTGGAAGATGAAAGAGTAGTTGGTAAAGACCAAGGTGCAAATCTGGCTCGTTCTTTTAATAATTGTGCCTTTCTCGAATCATCTGCTAAAGCCAAAATTAACGTGAGTGAGGTAGGTATTTTATTTCTATATTTTGTGTTATATTTTACTTGTTACTTTTTATTTATGGTTTAATATGTTTAAATTTATTAAATAGATTTTCTATGATCTTGTAAGGCAAATCAATAGAAAAAATCCAGAGAAGAAAATAAAACCACCACCAAAAAAATGTACAATTCTGTAACCTAGGTAAAGATTAAAAAAATTTCTTAAAAATGTTATTTTTCAAATGCATAATGCTTTGATAATTTTTTAATAAGGATAATATGAATCTAAAAATTATTCAATAAATTTTAATAAGTATTAATATCAAATGTTTTCTATCAAAACATTTGAAACTAAATAAATATAATGTAATAGTAATTATAGATTATTTGATATTTGTCTACAAAATGTTCAAAATTCTTTCACTACTATTATTTTAGAACTGTTTTTCATGTTTAAATTAACTAAACATACTATGTGAATTTTTTTATCTGTTGTAATTTCTTGGAATAAAGTCATTATTTTCTAATTCTCTGTATCAGAATATTTCTTATTTTAAATAATAATTGTTGTTAAATAAGAATATAAGTATAAAAAGTATTTTATATAGATTACAATATTGATGATCGAAACTGGAGTGGCCAGAAGTCTGGCTTTTGAGTGTTCTGTCCTTCATTCGGTGTCACTCAAACTGGCCATTAGTCATACTTTTGAAGTCTTCTAAAAAATATAATATACAGCGGCTAAAAAATAAAATTTTATTTTTATTAAATTAATAAATAAACATAACAGTGAATTTTTCATGAGATTATACTATTAATTAATATAAGAAACATACTGGTGATTCACCCAATCATTTTAGAGCAAGATCTTCCCAAAAACCTGCTTTGATACCCATCCGTAAGAAAAACTTTTTATTTCTATAAAAGTTGTCATGTATGTCAGATAGTTACCAAGAGGATGATATCTTTTTAGCAATTAAACAAGTTTTCACTTTATTATGATGATGGTAATACATTAAGCAAAAATAGTTCACTCCTAAATCCCCAAATATCTCAACCCGATAAAAAGACACATTTGAAAAATTTTTATTGTGTTCAGACTGACGGAGGCATAAATTTTCCATTTTTTTTTTCAGATATCTAATATATCTAATGTTAATTGGTTTTAATTTTTTTCTCAGAGCTGTAAATAAGGAAATAGTTAAAAATTAATTATCAGATGTACTGCATGCTTGAAGTGTTATACCTCATTATATATATTTGTGTGTGTAATTTTGGCAACTTATGCCATGTGTGCAATGTCTTCCTTTTTGGAAATGACCACCCTAATTGAAAATTTTTTCTTTTTAAATCATAAACATTTATTTCAGTTAAGAATTTCTTGAAATTTTGATCTTACATTTAAATATAATCATTTTACACTATAATGCCAACTGATCACCTAATCATTTGGTATTGAAAAATTTCTGTAGTATTTAATGCAGATATTTATTTTCTAAAGTGTTAATCTAATTCAAATTAATACTCTTCATTTTAAAATAAAAATTAAAATTGATACCATTTATTATGATAATCCCTCTCTCTCTCTCCCCACACACACACACACACACACACACACACACACAAAATATATTTAATTTTATATTCTCATATATATAGAGACAATCCTAGTTTCTTTTGAAATTTGTAAATAGCGGTATGAAGAAAATTGTACTAAACCACAGTTAGGTTATTTATTTTGAAATTCAATATGATGTCTTCCATTCATATTAACAAACATTCCTTGCTCTTACGAATTTTTAATATAATTTATAATCTTCAATAAAGAGAGAGAAATTTTAAGTTAAATTTTAAACAAATTAAGGCAGTGAAAATTTAAACGTATTATTAAAATCAAAAACAGTTTTCTAGTCTAATATTTTCTATTAAAAGCATAAATAGATAATAGTTTGTCTGATATACTGTAAAGTGCTATTCTAGAAAACAAATCATCTGTGATTTCCCCCCTGATGATTGGAAAATGAGTAACGGCAGACATGATCATATTGCCCTTGATTAAAAATTAGTCACTTGCAATTATGACTGTAGTTATTCAATTTTGTTTTCTTTGCATTCATATCATTGTCTGTTAAAGCTTGTTCTCTCTGAAAAAAATTTTTTTTATTTCTTTGAACTTCATAATAGTATTTGTCAATTACAATAAAATATTTTTTATTTGGCTTGGCAGACTAAATAAAAATCATTTTACTGAAACTAAATAGACAAAAATGTTTAAATTTGATTAATTTACCTATTAAGATATTTTTATAAATTATATTCAGAAGAGCATTCAGTGATAGTTATTTAAATTATCTGTAACAAGAAACATTAACTATTCTAATACATATCAATAATCACTGCAAAATTAAATTGAAAATATAGTATTATTAATAAAAACAATTTGATTTATTTTGTTGTTATATAAAAAATTAGTTAAAGAAGAGCATATTCTTTTCTGTAAATTCAATTATTTGGGCATTTTTCTTCCTCCAGAAATTTTTCATTTCGATATAAGATTTATGGAAATTTTCACAATGCATCCATCATTTTGCTCTTATTACACTAATTAATTCCTGCTTATATCTAATAAAATAACTAAGGTTTTTATAACAATGTCAATTAACATCTGCCAGTATAAAAATGTTAGTAGTGCAAAGATTTTTGAACATCTCTCGTGGTAGTTGTAAGGATGGTGATATATGAATATGATAATTTTTTTAAATATAAATTATTTATTCGTATAAAAAAAGAAATTTTAATAGAATAAAAATTCAATAGGTTTCAGGTAAAGCAAGACAGGAAGGGCACCAGTAGGAGACTGCACACTACGAATTGTAATTTCTGCTACGGGCTGTAATGGCTGTTCTGTGTAACATGTACTAGTAAAGACAATTCACTTCAAATCTATCTTGATGGATAATTCACTCATTAATGACCAATGGAATCATTGCTTCATTTCTGTAGTTGGATTGTTTAATACTTTTATCATTGTATTTTGATCATTGTGTTTAAAATAGTTCTTCTCTAATACTAAAGCATTCTCATAACTTCAGCAAATTTGCAAATTGTATTGTGGATGTTGTTGTAACTTATGTTTTAATGTATGCATCATGCCACATTTACTGGACCAGATATATAAGGTCACGGGGAATTATACATTAAAAAAAAATCAGACGGGTGACTGTTGTCAAGTGTGTGTTTCTATGGAAGGTGTTTGCCACTGCCAATATAGATTTTCAATTAACAGTACACAAAGATTCGAAAGCAAAGTTGTTAATCTGTTAGACTTGTATACGAAATCGGAATTGTTGGTAAGAATTATGGTGCTAAAAAGAATGAGTAATACCAGAAGAATTGTTCTTGTGCTTTTATTTTGGTAGATACCTTGATTAGTCAGTGTTTTTGTATTGCAAGCTCAGATTTTGTGGAAGTTTAGCTGCCCATTATCCTGTATCACATAATTTGTCTTCCCAATGTTCCTTCAAATACGGACAACCGTGGGGGTGGTTGTTTTAGAGTTTAATCTAATGACCATTGGGGGTAGCGTATATATATAAATATATATTCATTTTTAATGTTTATTTTTAATACAAGAATATGCTTTTTATGATAACAAGTAAATGTTAGTGAGAATAAGTGTGAAACCTGTCATATATCAAACACTGTTAATCAATACAGGGTAATGTTACATGTGGCAATTGTGGGAATTTCCTAGAAAACTTCCCATCCTGCATTTTCCTATCATGTTTTATCAGCTAAAGGAAGTTGTTTTTTGTACAAAAATCCTGGAATTCTGCAGAAAGAAAAAAGTAATGTTTTGGTAATAGAGATTTGTGTACTGTTGTTGGAAAGTGTGATATGCAGTAACCATTTCCAAAACTGCATTGCATGAGTTTGATGTAGCAGGTTTCACAATAAATAGTGTACAGTGGCACAGTCAGTTAATAAATTTAATGGAAGTTTTCATTGGAACGTGTTTTGATAACTGGAAATAAACTTGCATTGAAGTAACATTCATCAAGCTATGTAAGTTTTCAAGTATTAACTATGACTTGAGATTGATTTGCAGTTTTTACAAATCAATCTGAACATAAATGTCAGTTGATATATATATATGATTAAAAAGAAAAAAATAATAATAAAAATTCAAAGTTTAAATATCATCATATAATATGTGTTTCCTTAGTACATTCAAAGAAAACAATCAAGCAGTTCAACAATTACACACACTTTTATTTCTACTCCTTACAGGTCCCTTTCTGTTAATTGTTCCCACCTGTTCATTCCAACAAAGAAGGGGGCAGTGTCTAAACAGCATTGCATAGAACTCTATTACAAATAATCTACTCTCAAAGTTAACAAGATATGTGTTAAAATTTCAGTAACTGTTCATTCAAAGGCACACAAAACACAGTGCATACTTTGCTATCTTTCGCACAATAAGCTTCGAAATAAGTTACAAACTCGGCTTTGAATCGGAGTTGTAAAAATAGATCTGTAAACTTTCTGAATTTACAAAGAAAAGAATGCTTTATTTAGGCACGTTTGGAATGTGGATGCAGGAACAACAAACATCCAACTGAAATAAAAGCAAAACTTGTTTAATTTGCTAGAAACAATTATGTAAACTGTAGGAATGTGTTAGGGAATTTGAATTAAAGGATTTTAACATTTATTCTGTATAAAAAACAACAGTGGACAACAACAACATTGTTTGATTACATAGTAAAGTATGTACATTTTACTGATAATGCCAAATCTTATAATTGCAATACAATTTGATAAGCATTGTTGAAAAACGACAATAAAAAGATTTAAAATAGCTTTCAACAACAAATTATTCTGGGATTCTCTTCTACCAAAAGTAATAAATTATACTGTTGTAAATACTTAAAAAAAAAAACACCAAAATTAATTAAATCCATGATTTGTTAAGCAAGGCAATATAAAAAAAAATATTCTAGTAGTCTCTACGTTGATAGTATTGTCCATGACCGTAGTTTTGATGAGAAGAAAAGGCACTGGCCCCAGGAGGCAAATGATGATGTCCTCCACTCGTCCGTGGATAGGATGGCCTAGATCGTCCCGTGTGACGTCTCATGTGGGTTCGTTCTCTGTCCATTTCCAGATCTTCTAATCTTTGGGTAAGTGCCAATTTTTGTTGTATTGCCAGACGTAAAAGTGAATTGAGAGTCTTTTTCTCTTCTTCTGCCGCCGTCAGTTGGCGTTGGAGTTCGTCCAGCTGGGTAACGTATTCTTCGCATCGAGCGGCAAACATGGCCCTCAAGGAGGCGAAGGTAGCCGCGTCTTCTTTCAGAGCCTTCAGCTCGTTTCGTAGTTTCATCATAGTTTCGCTGACTATTGTTTTCTCGTTCTCGTATTTACTTTTTAAGTTAGTCAGGGCTACTTCTGCAGTCTGCTTATTTGCTTTTAATACTGTACGTAGCGTGGCTATTTGTTCTCGTTTAGTAGACAACATAGATTTAAGTTTAATGACTTGTTCTTGCAAATCCTCCACTTCTGACGAAAACGAGCCGTCTCTGTTACTAGAATGGATAGTGTTCTGACGCTGCATTTCAATTGTTGTTTCAACAGCACGACGCAGATGTTTTATCTGATCGTGCAAAGTTTCTAATAACCTGGTGCACATTCCTGGATCGACACGAATGTCCGTATTGCCGTTTGACTGCAAAATCTTCAAACAGATCTCGCTTTTGATATTTTCTCTTAAAGCATCCATTCTGTTACAAGTCACTGATCTTTCTGATGTGGATATTACACAGTTAGATGTGTCATTTTTCACTCCATCATCTATTAATAAAAAGATTTTTTAGTTCAGTTTTATTACGTAAAGTATATAATTACTATAATAATCTCACCGGAAGGTTGCTGTGTCCCCTTAACATGGTCTAACATTATGCGATTCGGAGTTTCTCCGTTTACCATGCAAACGTGATGATAAAGCTGAGCAAGTTCTTCAGAAATCGATATCAAATCCTCCTAAAATAAAAAAAAAAAAAAAACAATTTAATCAATTTTAAGAATCAAAAATTTAATTTTTGCTGGGTGCTAAAATTTATACTTGAGTAAGATTTAAGCTTGTTTGTGTCTCTCCGGTAATTTCTCCCAAGATATTCATATCACTTTCAAGATTGGCAATTTGATTTTCATTATTTCTTACCTAAAATTCAAATTTTATAGCAGGAGTAAAATTTGATGATTTGAGATTGTAAAAACATTTATATATACTTTGTTTTTCAAATTTGCAATTTCGTCTAGCAGTTTCTCTAGGGATTCATCATCATTCTGATCAGTAGAAGCTCCTTGCTGTTGCAGACCTTTTACATCTGCTTGAAGTCTCTCCACTTGTTGAACTGCTAGTTGATATCGCTGTTCGTGTTTCTGCAGAAGTTGCCTTAGTCGAGACAATTCCGGCAAATCCTAGATGTCATTAAAATTTAAATAAGAGTAACAAAGATTTGAAGATTAAAAAACTATTTTTTTACCTTTTCCCCATCTTCCATCTGTCCTTCTATTCTTCCTTCTTCGCCGTCGAGCCTTCCGTGCAATGCAATTAGGGCATTTATGTGTTCGACCATACGTGACACGCGGCTATGCTGATCGGTTAGATCTTTTTGCGTTTTTTCCAAAAGCTGTTGAGATTCTTGTAACCTCAAGGTGAGTTGAGATTTCTCGTTTTCGGCCTACGAAATACAAATCTTGTTTAGTTTTGCATTCGTAAACTTTCACAAAGTGAAACGTACCTGTTCCAGTTGTTTTTCGAGTTTGTGTATCTCCGATCCGTGCAGTTCGCTGAACAGATCGCCAACCGTCGAAGACTGTACGTTGCCAACACCTTCTGCACGATAATAATTTTGTAATGCCATTTTGGATAGAATATACTATTACAATAAATGCTTCCTTACTTTCGTCAGAACCAACTATAAAATCGGCTTCTATTTGTTTTAGAACTGGCGTACCTGCTTCTCCGTCTTCCTCTTCTGTTCTATTTCCGTCTTCTTGGCCCATATCTGTTGGAAATAGCATGGTAAGTCACCATAAATCAATGTTTGTAAATGTGCAGAACAAATTATATGAATTTTTTTTTCTTCTGTAGTATTTTGTTATTAAGAGCATGCAATTTACAAACATTAATAAAATTTTATACTTTAACATTTCCTTGATTTTTGGTAGCTCATTATGAAAGACAAAACAAATTAATAACAAAAATAAGCTTTAATTATACTTTAAATTTTACATCTCTCCTATAACTGTGATGAACAAAAATGTTACTTTGATTCAAAAACCATTAGAACAATAATAATATGGCACAAAATACATTTGGCACACAAACATACAAAAAAAGTTTTAAATTGTTTAAAAAATTTTTTTTACAAAAATCACTTATATATGTAAAAATGTAATCCACACATTTTTATAAAAGAAACTGTGGCTTTACAAGGTAAAAAATGCTTGTTAGCTGCCAATTGGTGGTATTTAGTTATATATTTACATGTTATTCATATTTGTCCATTTGATAAAAAGTAAAATACTGTCCTCGTGCTTTGTATTGCAATATGTGTGCCATACTAATAATATTCTTTTCTAGAATACAGATGATAAAATGGCAGCAATTCGTGGAAAAAATCTTTGTAGAAATGTCAAAAAATGGTATTCCAAAAAAATCATTGTATAAAAAAAACAATACTGTCATTTTGATCAAATAAGAATATCTTACTGATGTTGCCATAGTTTTTTAAACTTTAGAAACTGACATCGATGTTTTTGTATAGAATTGTTGCTGAACCATTGCATTGTTGCCAATAGTTAGTCTTAAAATACATCAATAACAAATCTGACTAATCAAAAAGTATCAGGATAGGTTCATATAAACTGCATGTTGTGTGTGTGCAAGTGAGTGCTGTTGTCATGAGTTTATTTGCAAACGAAAAGAATTTTTACGCCTGCAATTTTTCAAAATGTCTTCCCACTGGAATTACTGTTACAAAAACCTTTGGTGACAATAGTCTTTCATAAACAAGAGGTTTTGAATAATACAAGATGTTTGAGGAAGGCAGAGAACAACATATCACTTGAGTCAAAGATATGATACTCAATGGTCATTGTTCAATAATGTCCCTAATTGTTAAACATGTTCCAGTTTCATTAGATCTTGTCAAACGGTTTTAAAAGATTATTTGGGTTTGCAGTGCATCACTTCTAGTGTAGTTCCAAAAATGTTGAATGTTTTCCAAAAAAAAAAGTGTGTTCAAGAGATGCTCTCTCAAGATGAATTGTTCTTAAAATGCATGACACCAAAACATCTCAATGATCAAGTGAATGGTGCTTGAAGGTAAAGCAAGACCAAAAAAATCACATCAAAGTCAGTCAAAAATCAAGGTTGTGGCATTGTGCATTATGAATTCCTTCCAACTGGCCAAACTGTCAACTAAGAATGTTGTTTGCATAAAGCATCCATAAAAAACAATCTGATTTGTGGTGAGAAAACTCCTGGATTTGCACCTGCTTACAATGCTCTTATTGTTTGTGAATTTCTGGCAAAAATTAAACAAATATGATACCTTGACTTTTTTATTTTCTCCATAAAATTATGCTTCAATGGTCACCATTTTCAGCCAACCTATACCATAAGACAAAATTCACTCAGAGCCCTGAAAGGGTTTTACAAAACTGATTTTAAAGCACGTATTGAGGATTGGAAAAAATGTTGGTGCAAGTACATTGCTTTGAAGGAAACAAAATAAATTTTGATAAATTCAAATAATGCCTTTTATTGAACCATTTTCGATACTTTTTGATAGTGGGGAATATCATAATATTGATTTAATAACACTAAGAACCAGAAAACTTAATTATATGAAACCCACTTCTAAAAGTTAAGATGCAGTACTTTTAATCAAAATATCTTGAGTAAAAGTGACTTGCTAATTATTTTATGTTATTTTATAAACTAAAACAGACCCAAAGTATAAAAAAATTTAATCTATTACCA